ACATAACTAGGTTAATTTAGGGAAACCCTCATTGTTGAATTAAGCAAATCGGTCAATCACGATTAAGCATTCCTACCTTTGAGTTGTGTGAGGGAGTAAGTCAACTACCAATTGCCTAAACCGAGAGGGCCGAGTGACACGACCTATATTGTTCTCCTCGGTTTAGCAATTGAGATTGTGGTCTCCGACCATATATGCATCCCTCTGTGGTTCGCGGTTACCTTTCCCATAGCAATCGTTCCAATCCAACGAGTCTTGGTAGCTAGTTAGGGGGAATCAACTCCTGGGTGAAGCTCCCTTAGTTAGACTTTTCCTTTATTTACTTTTCCTTGCTAGTTTAGTATGTAGTTTTCTTAGTTTTAAAACCCAAAACTGTTTTGCTAGATAACAACTTAAGCGATTGAAGTAGGGGTATATGGACGGGCCCGGGTTGACAATTTAAATACTTGCTCTATACTGCACCCGGCTAGAGTTTAAAAACTTGGACACTAGTCGAGATTAATTTGTGGTGTAGTTTTGTGCAAGTCATTGATCCATGAACAAGGTGAGAACTTTTCGTTTGCCCACTTTTGGTGGCCTCGAATGTCGTTTGTGGTGGATGTCGGTATTGCTTGCAACGGTCCATGTATTAATTGCCAATACCCATTGAGAATTCCCACTTTGTGCCCTTTGAGTTGTCCCCAAAGTATTTGTGAGGTTGAAATATTACCTTGTGTGAAATGGTTTGCTTGGGGACAAGCAAACGTCTAAGTGTGGGGGAGTGATTCGGGCGGGCCTAATTGTACATATTTGACCCCCGTTTTCCTTAGGAGTTTGTGGCAATTGTGCTCCAAAAAGGGTGGTTTTACGCAAGGTTTCTTGTGTTTTAGCTTGTTTCAGGATTTAACAGGTGAAACTAGTCCCAGAGTCGAAAGTTGGACGAAAAGGAGCGAAAACCGAGAGAAGAGGTGAAAACTGACAGTTCACGGCCTGCTAAGACCGTGAAGAGGAGCTGTTGCCCGTGAACACCCATGCGTCCAGGGCCAAATCTTAAGTTACTGACGCGAGGTGAGTTCAAGGTCACTAAGACCATGAATTGTAGCTGTTGCTCGTGTACCCGTGCAAGCGAAATGGTGCGTTTCGACGCCAATCTTGAGTTCATGGATGCGTTCAAGAGCTCATGGCCATGAACTAAGGCTGTGAATTGAGCCCGATCCCTGTTTAAAAGGAGAACTAAAAGGAAGAGAGAAGGGAGAGCCAAAGAGTGAGAACGTGCCTTCTTCAAATTTTAGAGAGAGAAAGAACGAATCAAGTAAGGAAGAAGGCTAGGGTTTGCTCCAAGTGGTGAATTGGGAAGATTCTCCCCAAGAGAAGTTCATCACAAACTCAAGGAAGATTGGAAGCATCTCTATGATGGTTTCTACCTCTTCCTCTTGTGTTTTTCCCCTTTCTAGCATGAAGTAGTTTCCTTTTTCACTTGGGTGTTGTGAAACCCTAACTATCTACCATGTAGTTTTTGTTATGTGGATTGAATGATTGTTTATGGGTGTTGTTTAATTCAATGATTGAGGTATTTTTCATATTGATTGTGCATGTTTGTGCTTAGCAATCTAATTGGCCATTTTAACCTAGATTAGAGAGGGAAGACCCCCTTTCAAGTGAGGCTCAATTGAGTTGGGATTTCTAGGGCTTTCTAAGCCACTAACTAGGTTAATGTAGGGCAAGCCTCCATGTTGAATTAAGCAATTTGGTTAAGCGCGATTAAGCGACCAACCATTGGATTGAGAGAGGGAGTAAGTCAACCATCGATTGCCTTAACCGAGAGGGCCTCTTGAAGAGCCTATAATGTATCCCTCGGTTTGGCAATCGAGAGTGTGGTCTATAGGGATGTCAATCCAACCCGTAACCATGGGTACCCTACCCGACCGTAACCGGTCAACGAGGGTAATTACCCGCTTTGACGGGTTAAGGGGCGATTATACCCGCCCCGCTAACCAAAGGGTCAATTTCCCTTGAGAAATTTATTTTAGCTTGAGAAATTGAGTTTAGCTACCATTATTGATGATGAAGATGTAGACGATTATTATGTTTGTGTGGATTGTAGAAGCAAGAACAATTATTATGTGTTTGCTATTTTTATTTGTGTGGATTGTTGAAACTAGAACAGTTACAAGTATTGAGAATTTTTAATGGGTAACCGTATGTATGTGCATATATGTGTATAAGTTCATAGTTTAGGATTCGTACACATGGTTACCCGAATACCCGTGGTTACCCGAATACCCGTGGTTACCCGGTGGGTAGGGTATGGTTATATAATTTTCATACCCGATGGTTATTTGGTCGGGTATTTTAGAAGGCTCTACCCGGCGGGTTAAGAGTTGGTATAGGGTAAACCCGCACCCGACCCTACCCATTGCCATCACTGGTCTACGACCATATTTGCGCCTCCTAGCAGTTCGCGGTCACCTTGCCCATAGCGATCACTTCGATTCACATACCATGGTAGTAGTTAGGGGGAAGCGACACCCGAGTGATCCTTCTCACAAAGAGCTTTCAAAATCATTTACTTTTGTCTTGCTTTACTTTAATTAGCAAACTTTTCAACCAAAACTGATTCGCTGGATAATGATTCAAATGACTGAAGTAGGGGTACACGGACTGCCCCGAGTCGATATTTAAACATACTTGCCATCTATTGCACCCGACTAACGTTTATACTTGGACCTTAGGCGAGAATTAATTGTGATATTCGGGATGAGTCGCCTATTATGCGTCTTCACAAATGAAGGAAAGATAATCTCCTGGTGATGTTTGCTCTCCCGCTTCAATCGCCAATACCGCCACAAAATCACAATCGCAGATCTTCGGTTATTGATGGCCGGATAGAGAGAGCCGACAAGATTGAGCTGAACTGGAGGGCACGTGGTTTCGAAATCAATCGATGGTTGGTAATGAGATCGAAGACGGCGTGGGAGTACGTCGTAGTTGGCGGAAAGTGCATCGGTGGGACTCCTGCTGACTTTTCTATGCTCTTCTCCATTTTTTCTCCCCTTAGCTAGTGTCGTTGACTGAAGACAACGGGCGTAGAAGACGGAGGTGCGAAAGAGAGAGCCCTAACGGTGAGGCGGGAGGAAACAAAGGACAGAGGTGAGCAGAGAAAGGCCTTGGTACTTGGTGGGTTTTATTTTGTTATTTCATAATAATTTTTATGTTTTGTTTATTTTAATTAATTTTTATAATGAGGTGCAAATGGTAACAAATTATTTTTATTATTTTTATTTCAACGTCAGCTATTTAACGGTCAACTATGAGAGTTGACTATCACATAAACGGAGATTAATGGAGAATAATCAAATTTGAACTGTTAAACTAATTTTAGTGACCAAGAATAGAATTAAATAATTTTAATGGAAAGTGAAATATTTTAGTAATTCCTAATGACCAAAATGCAATTTACCCTTATTTCCAGCATCATTAATTTTGGGTTGTTTGGTTTTGGTGATACTTAAATCAATGCATTGTGATCAATGCATGCATTGTAATATACATGCAATTAAGGAAAATGATGTAATATACTTTGCATTGTTTGGATTGGTGATAGTTATTTTAGTATTCAACAAGTTATATTACTTTTTGTGGTAAAGATCACTTGTACCCTTGCTTTTATTAGAACATATGTATATAACTAGGGGTATAATTGTAACAAAAAAGGAACCCAACAATCTTCTCAAAACTATCTCTCAACAATCTCAAGTTTTAGTAGAGATATTACTATCACTCATTTTGAGTGATAATTTCCATCACATCAAGCAAACAATGCATGTATTGTTTGTGTAGAAAATTAAAAAAAAAAACAATTCATTGTGGAAAATACGTGCATTATAACTATCCCAACCAAACAATCACCAAAACGAAACGACCCCATTGTGTTTGGGCCAGGCCCTAAGCTAGTTTGAAAATCCCTCGGCCCGTGTCCCGGGTGCAAAATTGCAATTGTCCTTCGAGTAAGCGCCTGCGGGAACCAGTTTGGGCTCTTGTTGCGATTGCCGGGTTGGGGGTTGTGAGATTGACCACTCACTTCCTAGCCATTAGATACGTTCTCTCTCCTGTCTCTTTTTTCTTTTTTCAAATTGATGGTTATGATTAAAGGAATGATATTTTTGGAATGAAGAAATATTACCACACAGGATATTTTCTCATTTTCAATATAATCTACTTCATAAAAAAAAAAAACTCTCCCCACCCCATAACACACGTCCTCTCTCCCCTCTCTTCCCTCTCCCCAAAACCCTAGCCGCCTCCTCCCCCTCCGTCTCTCCATGTCACCGCCGGCCGCCGCCTCCATCTCTCCCTCCTCCCACCACCGTCGCAGCCCTCCAATCGTAGCCTTCGCCTCCCACCATCCTCTATCGCCGTCACCGCAGAGGTAACGACCTCTCCCGTCATCTCTCCTATCGCTGTCGCATCTCTCCTTCTCTCTCCCGTCATCTTCTGTCGCCGCCCTCATCCACGGCCGTCGTCGCCGCAGAGGTAATGATCTCTCCCCTGCCTTCTCCTTTCCTCATCCTTTATTTTTTTTCCATATATGAGATTTTCCATATTACAGATTTGATTTTTTTATGTTAATTTCTAATGGTACTAACTTTTGTCTAGTGGTACGGTACCAGTGGTAGTGGTACCACTACCACTTGTACCGTACCACTAGACAGAAATCAGTACCACTAGCGCAATGACGGAGTGGTTTTTTTCAAATCGTCGGAGCGAGTCTGATTGAAGGATTTCACCGGGAAAAAGTCTCCCGGTCGGAGAAAGTTTGGCAATTGGAACGAAGAGGCTGCTGAAAAATGAAGAGAGAGATAGAGAGAGATATAAATGTATTAATTTTAGGATTTAAATTAAAAAAACATGTATTTAATATGAGTTTATAATTTCCATTTTGTAATTAATAAAAAAATATTTAATAAATTTTGTTTTTTTTTGTCATATCCAAATTGTCTCACATCCCATAGGGAAGCGACGCTATCCCATCACACGATTTCCTCCTCGACGACTATATAACTCTATCACTCACTTCCCTAGTTCCCCTGCCGGTCGATTTCGCGGGGCTACATTCATCTACTCTTCCGAGGGGTGGCTACGGTCTCCCACGGCGAAACCAATCTTACATACACATCTCTGCTAACTAAAAGTCTATTTCTTTCGTCGGGGTCACCAGTCGATTGAACTCCGTTGCCGCCGGCTCAACCGACGCCTCTTGGTTCCTCTTCGACAGATTATACGATGAATATTTCTTCTTCTACAACCTTTTCTTCGCTGACTTCACAGGCGCTGCCACTTTCTACCACTCCTCCTTCTTCTTCTTCTTTGTCTGACTTGGTACCTGGAAATCCCTGGGCTAACGAATCAATGTCTTTTCCACCTAGCTCTATTGACCCTGTGGTGTCATCCATAGTTCATCAGAGCCCCGCCGCCACTGCCGCCGCTGCCCTGTCGCCTCCTGGAACTATAACTACTCAGCAAGCATATCCTGGGTTTCCCTCTTTCCAATCTCCTCCTATGGCTGCTGCCGCAGCGGCTCCTCCGCAACCAGGTATTTGGTTGCAGCCAATGCAGCAACAAGTTCCTGGCATGATGCGGCCACAGCCACCGTTTCTGTCGTATGCTCTGCCTGCCGTTATGCACACTGGTCATTTTCCTTTGACAGGACCTGGAAACCCTAACTTAAACCCCTGCCCTTTTCCTGGCGTTTTACCAGTACAAAGTATGGGTGTGAATCCTCATATGGTTCCTCCTCCTGCAACTCCACCGACGGCTTCAGGCCAGCAGTTTGTGCGGCCTGAAGGGATCCAGACGGGATTAACTCCTCTAGAAATTGGTATGCTCAGGGTTTCCATGCTAGGATTCCAATGTAAGGAATTGATTATTTTTCATTGGAGTAGTTTGGATTGAGCTTTTTCATCCTTAGTGTTGCATAATCTTTTGCAGAGAGCAAGAGCCATTCCCTTGACCCTGAGGTCAAGGGCAATGCTACTGGTAATGAAACATCAGATGTTTGGACTGCCCACAAGACTGACACCGGAATTATGTACTATTACAATGCTTTGTCAAGATTATCCACTTACGAAAAATCTCCTGGTTTTAAATCGGAGGTATGTTTAGTAAAAGTTATCACGGTTATACCATTGAACTGAAATTCTCTTTATATTAAAACAATCTCCGTAAGACTGCAAAGAACAATGGGTAGTGGGATTTAACAGTCTATATTAGCCTTCTTGCCTGAATTTTGATGGTGATTTGTTCTTCCGTCTGTGTATATGGATGCAGCCAGAGCGAGTTGTGGGTCAGCCACTTCCGGTATCAATGTAAGTTGCTTACCTACTTATTTTGTTATCACTTATTTTAGTTGTCTTCATCTGAAACATATGAGTCTTTGGTAATTTATGGCATCAAAACTTTAATGATGGAGGCAGACAACTTCTTGTTTTAGGGAGATAGCATTGCTTCCATTTTTTAGTCATTAATGAAATTAACCAATCACCACCAAAGTGACTTCTTTCTAGTGTTGACATTGATATGGCTGTGAGCATGGTAATAATATGGTTAAACTTTAATGTGTTCTTCTCATTCAAATTCGAGACGTCTGATACTTCTTCTCAACTTTTCAAGTGAAGAATCAAACTAGTATTTTTTTCCTTTGCGTCAGCATATCCCTGAAACTCCCGCGTTTATTTTGGTTGATTTATAGTTTCATTATCTTCTGATTTTCACTGGACTATAGATAATGATTTGTGGAGCTTCATACCTTTTTTGTTTCTGGGGTCACAACACACTAGCATTTTATTTTTTCATCAACATCTCACCTAAACTCTTGCCTTTCATGTTTTGGCTTGGTTATATTGTTTTGACTGTTTATAACTCTCATTATCTTCCGAGTTTTTGGGTTGACTCTTGACCATGATTTTGGAGTTTCATACCTTCTTATATGCAGGGAGAATTTAGCTGGAATACATTGGGCCTTGGTCACCAGAAATGATGGAAAGAAGTATTACTACAACAACATAACAAAGGTGGGATTATATATAAGCATTTCAAACTGTGATGGGGACTTCCCTCCATGCATCCGATTCAAGAAAACAGGAGATATTGAACTGTTATAGCGAGTTAGAAGTAGACCATTCTGCAACCTTCCGTTTGCAAGTTGACTTTCAGGATGAAAAGGTGGCCAGTTTGGATAGGTCTATAATTTTAATGGTTGGAAGTGTTAATTAACTTTTCTGATATAATATAGACATTGCCACTGTTTGTAACTTAACATCTTTATTACCACCTGCTGTATGAGATCCTATTTTTGTTCTGTGTTTACTATGTAGGGTTCTACAGTGGGTCCTACATTTACATGTACATGTAGTGTGCATGCATTATGTGAATTGTGTGTGATCATGTTAGTGAAAATAGGTAGTAAGTCCTTAATCCTTATCTCTAGGGTCTGTTAGGTATGTAATACAACTCGCATTTCTGTTCTCACCAGGTAAGCAGTTGGCAGGTCCCAAACGAGGTGATTGAATTGAGAAAGAAGCATGATGATGTCTTAAATGAACATGCAATGTCAGCCCCGCAGGCTAATGTCTCCACTGATACAGGATCTACTAGAGTCAGTTTAAGTACTCCGGCAATTAACACTGATGGTCGTGATGCCATAGCTTTGAGAGCCCCAACTGCCTCAGCCACATCATCTGCACTGGATCTGATAAAAAAGAAGCTGCAAGACTCGGGATCTCCGGTAACTTCATCCCTTGCTCCAGTTTCATCAGCAGTAACAACATCTGAATCTAATGGTTCAAAAGCTGTTGAAGCTGCTACAGCTAAGGGCATTCTGAGTGGAAGTAGCAAAGAGAAACTTAAAGATATGAACGAGGATGATAACATGTCAGATTCGTCCTCAGATTCAGAGGAAGACAATGGGCCAACAAAGGAGGAGTGCATTGTATAATTTAAGGCATGTGGTTTTCTTTTCTCATATGGATTCAGCGATATATAGGGAATCAGGAAAACAGAACTGTATGTCCCTAATTTTGCAAGCTTTGGTTACTGACGCAGCAATAGAAGTTATAATATACTTTTACCTTTTTGTAATGGACATGAGATGCTCAAGGAAAGAGGGGTGGCACCATTCTCAAAATGGGAGAAGGAGCTGCCAAAGATTGTGTTTGATCCACGTTTTAAGGTTTACCGAGTCTAAGTAATATGATCAGCGTTGTTCAATAATTGTGGCGTATTGAACCTCCTTAAAGCATGTTTTATGGATTTATCTGTCTATGTACTTTGGGTATGGATCTTCTTATGGCTTACCACCTTAGAGAATTTAAAGCAACTCTTCCTACATATACAAGGTGTAGGCATTATATTTTCTCTGAACCATGTGTTCTTAGAGTACAAGCAGCCACTAGAGGCTGTCTTGTTACTTTATGCAACGTGGAGTCTTTTCTTGATGTATTTTGTTAGTCACAAGCTCACAATAAATGGATGAAGATTGTTAGTTAACTTGACAATTTAGGATAAGGTTGTTTGATTGAATAACAGGGAGCATTGGCTGAAGAACCTGTTCATGTTCCATATGATATAGACTATATTTCTGTTGGCTATTTGTCTGTGCGTGCCAGGAAGCAATTCTGTGTATATGGCTCTGGATTCTGTGTGCTCACCAGGACATGATTCATTTCTAACTGTGCAGCCACTTACTTCTCCAATTGGTTGGAAGCTCCTAGGTTTCCATTTTCTGTAGGAAGTCTGCTGTGTTTTTCATCTCTTACAAAATCTTCTGTTTCTTTGAATTTTTAGTTATAAAAAAAGTTACTTTGTGTTAAAGTGTCATATCCCATTAAAGTTGTAGCGTTCGTTTCCAGGCTATACCAAGTCATTCTGGTCGGAGGTCCTTGTTTGATTACTATGTGAAAACACGCGCCGAGGAGGAGCGCAAGGAGAAACGTGCTGCTCAGAAGGCTGCAGTAGAGGGATTTAAGCAGTTACTAGAAGAAGCATCAAAGGTCAGTTGATGGCAGTGAATTAAAGTGCCATATCTCCTTTAACTATTGGAATCTTTTCACTTTGAACTTGTGTTGAAATAGATAGTTTACCTGATATGTTAGGATTTTCAGGACATTGATAAGTATACTGACTATCAAACTTTCCGAAAGAAGTGGGGCAATGACCCAAGGTTTGAAGCCCTAGACCGCAAAGACAGAGAGCATTTGTTGAATGAAAGGTATCATTTGCTGACAGCTTCGATCTTTATATAGCCAGTCGGCCTCCAATGATTATGTTTATTAATTGGATGCTCACTTATTAGGTATAAAGATTAAATCTTTAGGTTCCGTCTTTGTTTTCTACCTCGGAGGCTGCCATCATTTCTGTTTCATTGGAAACTATATTCCGAGGGGTCATTTGGAAGTTTAAATTGTAAAATCAATGCTCTCACCTGAACCTTGTTTTACACTTATTATTGGATATCATCTTCTTTAAAGGGGTTTTTATCCCATGGGAAAGGAAACCTACTAATAGTTTTAAGTCTTATGTCCCTTTTCTATGCTTGCTATGTTCCTGTTTTCATTTTTAAAACCTGTTTACTGTCTAGTGCATATGCAAAGTTTCTTTCAGAAGCTTAATGAAGTCCGTGTTTTGGTAAATTTGCTTCTTTTCTTACATAAACCATTCCCCAGGACAGAGAATAGATTCGGTTCATGGAAGCAATACGTGTGAGCATATGCTAGAGACCTACTTATTGTGTTGAATTTAGCATGGTCCTTTTCCTTTAATCTATTTGCTTTGCATGGTAAATTATCTTCTTATTGGATTCACTGCTCCACTTTCCCTATTTCCTTTCTTGGTAGTAGAGGTCAACACTGTTTACCATTTATGTAATAGGATTCTTAGCTTGAGGAAGGCAGCAAGAGAAAAAGCTCAGGCTGAGCTTTCGGCAGTTGCTGTTGTTTTCAAGTCTATGCTCCGAGAAAGAGGAGATATAACCGTGCATTCACGTTGGTCCAGGGTATGTTATAATTGTGATTCTCATTCTTAGGCATATGTGAATAAAAAAGAGAAGTAAGTTTATTATGAGGGTGATTCTTCTACGTGTAGATGGGATAACTTCAGCATTAGTCTTTTAGTTAAGGACAAGACTCTTGCTTATTCATGCAATCAAATTAATATTTCTGCTGAAAGAAGGGCTTTGTACTTCTTTTAAATAAACTGGTGCAATCAGATGAGAGAAAAATCTTATGATGTTTGCTGATAGATTTAAAAAAATTGGTCTCTATTGCCTAAGATATTTGGAAAAGCCCCCATGTCTCAGCTGACTATTAATGTAAACTCTCAGAAGTCGGTTGAAATAAATGTATCTTGATTATTTGCAGACTTCCTTTAGTAAGTTAGACCTGCACCTAAAGCAACGATGATAGTAAAACCCTTTATTCTCAGTTAAGATCTGATACATGCGGGTATTGCACAAATGCCAAACATCAACTGTCGCTTTTTTGCTGTTTGCAGGTTAAGGACAGTTTAAGGGATGATCTTAGGTACACAAGTACAAAGCATGAGGATCGGGAGGCTTTATTCAATGAGTATTTATCTGACCTAAAAGCAGCAGATAAGGAAGCTGAGCGTGGAATAAAATCCAAGAGGGAAGAGCAGGTAATAGTGATAAGCTCATCCACAACCTTGTCCCAATTTCTGTGTCTTAGAGTGGTTCTTTGATGTGCTTTCCCTAGCGGGGATTAAGATAGTATGATAGATAGCCATTAGGATGCCACAGTTTGAATGCTGAAGCATGACAGCATTTCAGCAGTGTATATAGCCATTTAATGGCAGCTGCTATCATCCGCTTCGAAAGGTTCTGTTTATTAATGGATAGGAATTTGCTTTTAAATGTCATTCACCAAATAACCGAAAGACCATGTTAGGTGGGGCAATGGCATACATACTTCTGTGATGGTATGCATTCTCTTCAGACTACAATGAAGATTTGGGGTATTTTTATTTGCTCAAGTTTTGAAAACTTGATAGTGTTGAATTTGGTGTCACTACACACTAGTGGCTACCTTTTCACTCATCGTATAGGTAACTGCCTTACATTTTTTCTTCGTTGAATAACAGCCTTACGAATCCACTTTTCATTTGAGTCATTTTTTAGGAGAGGCTGAAAGAAAGGGAGCGGGAGTTGCGAAAACGAAAAGAAAGAGAGGAACTAAAAATGGAGAGGGTGCGACAAAAAGTTAGGAGGAAGGAAGCAACATCGTCTTTTCAGGCTTTGCTTGTGGAAACAATCAAGGACCCACAGGTATATTTGATCGCAATGGTGGCTGTATGATGTTTATGTAAATATATCAATAGTTCTGCTTTTGCAGTTTGTCCGGCTGCCAGTAGATTTTTTATGGATGGTCTGAAATGACATTGATAGTTCCCTCTGCCTCATAATCCCTAGTATTTGAAGCCTCCTGAAGTTTCTCAGTGTTATGACAAGTTTGCTATCAACGAGAATATATATCCTTTCTTGGAGTTTCTGCGTCCAACCAAGGTTGGAGCTAAGAATTTTTCGGCGAACTTGGAGTTGGCATTAGGATAGACGATGGTGGGATTGAGGAAGAAAATTTTCATTTTCATTTTTATAATTATAACTGTACGTTTTATTTATTAATTATGATATAATGAGGTGGAATTTTAAATAGATTAATTTTATTTATTTTTTAATTGATATGTCACCTATTTAACGGTCAACTATGAGAGTTGACTGCCACCTCAGCAAAAGTTAACAGAGACTAACGGTCAGTGACCAAACTTGGACGGTATAACTAATTTAAGTGACTACGGATGAAATAAATTAATTTTAGTGGTAAATGTGAACTTTTATAGTAATTTCAGTGACCAAACTTGCAATTTACCCATACAATCAACATGCCATGTCAAAAAAAAAAAAATCAATAACCAAAACCAATTTAACCCAACCTAATCACAATCAACCCACCCACCCAATATTGTACCTTAATGCCCAATTGCACTGAAAAAGTTTAATTTGGTACAAAACTGAGCGTTTCTATAAAACAATTATCACCAGCTGAACCTTTCCCCGCCGCCCGCTAGCGACACCATCTCCATCCGCCATCTCTGTTTTCGATTACTACTTTTGACCCCAAGACGACCTCTTTCAATTTGGAGCGGATCCTGTCACTATCTTTTTATCAATAACTATGCATAACCCAATTGAAATTTTCCACATCAGCGCCCCTTCTCTCTCCTGAAAAGCCTTTAATTTGTTCCCCTTTAATCTTTAATGGACGATTTCTCACTCGTTTTAAGTTGAAATTTAAATTTTTTTGCACAGTTAGATCAGATTAATATGCTCTTCAAAATGATATCCACTTTGATATATTTTGGGAACAAAAAAAAATTGAGCAATTTTTTACCAGTCTACCATATGGTATTGACTGGTATTGAAATGAGAGCATACCTATGGTATGAAAAACGTACAATGGTGGTATGAACAAACCAAAATTGTAGGATGGTTGAATACATGATAGTAGAAGTATACTAACTGTCATTTACGACTTTCAACATTGTGTAACACAAGATACCACCCCATAGCAGGGTGGTATTGTATAGGGGTGGGCATCTGGTTCGGGTTCACCTTTCCGAACCGAACCAAACCGATCAAAACCGAATTACACATTTTTCGGATCGGAATTCGGAAGGCCAATGGGCTTAATTTGGAACCCAGGGTCCTGTTGACCGAACCGAAATTCCGAATTTCGAACCAATAAACCGAATTATACAATCTGCCTAACCCAAGCCCACACTCTCCCCCTTACACTCACAACCAAATGAGCCCACCCTTCATTCAGGCCCACACTGGCCAAAGAAGCCCACTAAAAATCCCTACCAAAACCCCCTGTCTCCCACGAAGCCCATTACCTCCCAACTCTATCTGCTATCTCATTTCCATTTTCCAACAACCAGTGGGAAGAATAAAGAAAGACGAAGCCCATTACTCTCCCTCAAGATGTAGATCGGCGGCAGAGAAGTCGAAGAAGATGCACCCAGCTCCACCTCCTCGCCGCAAGCCAACGTTCGACGCCACCGCTGTTGCCGCAGCTCGCACCCAGCCCCGGCTCCGCATCGCGACCCACACCAACGAAGAAATCCACCGCTCTCCACTAGACTCATCGGTGGCGCGATAGCGGTGACGCCTTACTCAAGGTCGGGGGACGAGAACAGAGAAATCAGATCTACCCTTCTCCCTTCGTTCTCAATCTTTGAGATCTCTACCTTTTCTTTGAAAATCGATTTTTATTTAGTGTATGCTTTTGTTTGGGAGAGAGTTTTGTGGGAGGGAGAGAGAGTAGCAGAGGGAAGGATGAAAGAAGATGATGAATTTTGTTTGGGAGACATTTTGGTGGGAGGGAGAGAGAGCAGGGAGGATGAATCTTTGTTTGGAAGAGAGAGAAAGAGTAGCAGAGGGTGAAAGAAGAGGACGAATGATTGAAGGGGAAGTGGGGAAGAAGATGTCTCTAGAAGTTCGGGTTGGTCGGGATCCCGAATCGAACCGAAATATATTTCGGTTCGATCAAACCTAACCGGTTTTAGCTTTAAACTATTTGGGAGGACCCGATATGCTTCTGTTCGGTTCGGTTTAGACCCAACCGAACCGATGCCCACCCCTAGTATTGTATGGTATTGTGTGGCATTTTTTAATCATGTATTTTGTTCACCCAGAAATTTGTAGATCCAATAGATCATGATGAACTCATTCCTTTTTTCAAAAACGAAGAAGATACCATATGGTATGCAGTTGGTAACGAGAGCAATAAATTTTTTTTCTCAAAAAATATTGAAAATGGATCTCATTTTGTAGAGCACAACGAACTCGTTCCATCCGTGCAAAATAAATTGAAATCCGAGTTAAAACGAAGAAGATATGAGCCGATTAAGAAAACAAGGGAAAATAAAAATGCTTTTAATTCTATACCCTTAGATCTGGATTTTCTTAATGAAGGGTCCAGATTTAGTTACTAATGGGTGCATAACCCATCTTGAGCCTTTTCAATTCGCCGTGAAGCCTAACGAGTTTGACTCTATGGATTTGTTACCCATCCCGCTGTAGTAGATCTCACCAGTACTTGAAAATCATTCTCAGTTCGGAAGATCCAACACAAATTCAATAATCGAAACCCACCGTCCCTTCCCATCTACCTAGAGCCATCGATGCCATCGTTCCTAGAAGAACTACTTCTAACCCATAAAACCCAAATCCTATCCCCAAACCTTCCTAGATGTTGTCTCCCGTTTCTGCAAACAAAACCCCTAAACCTAGATCTTCTCCCTTGATTAATTTAAAACCCACCGCAACAACAGCTTAGTCCAGCATCTCCAGCTTCCATCGTCTCTAAACTCCCGTAGGAAGACATCATGGGGTAGTGTTGATCTCTCTGTCCTCTCAAGCGACGACAACCAAAAGGACGGCGAAGCGGACGACGACGGAGGGTTCGAGGAGGAAGCGTGGGGCTTGGGCGAGCGGTGGCACTTGAGGTACATCTAGAAAAAGTAGAAGAGTGTGAGAACCACGCTTCTAGGGATTCTCGATACTGATCTTCGGCACTCGTGATAATTAGGGATTTAGGGTTTGAGAGAAAGAATTAGGGATTTAGATGAGAAGAACAGAATAGAATTGGGAATCGGCCGAGGCCTTGGACTAGGATGAGATGAGAAATTAGGAGTTGAGAGTAGAGATTAGGGTTTAGGAGACTGTTTCTTAATATTCTTCTTGACTGATTATGACGTAAACCCAAAGTACATATATATAGGAAATACTGGAAAACCCTAACGAATAACCTAATTGGACTAAATCTCTACTAACCATAATAATAATTACCCTATCTAATATAATAATAGAAACCATATATAAATGTGTTTCTCACAATCCATCCCCCTTGAAAACAACCTTGACCTCAAGGTTGTAGTTGACTTCTACCTCCTTGACCTTCCGCTTTCTTCGTTTCCAATTGCGTTCCAACTCACAAATGACTTCTTCAACTCCAACGTTCTTCAACTCTTCTCGAATTTCGTAACACACATCACGTTTCCCATAAACGAACAATTCTTCCTCTTCCTTTTCAAAATCCATGAAATAAGCATCGGAGAATGGTTCTTCCTTGTACTTCATAAATTCTTCCATGGACTTGGTGGTGGGAATAACCCCTAGCTTCAATAAACCTTCATTTCCTACCTCTTGGACCTAGCCCACAATTGCATGGAGTAATATGGTGCTCTTCTTCTTCTTAATTTCGTTTGGGCTTGCAAGTCCACTTGCCAACTTCATAACTCCTTCCCTTTTTTCCTCCAAGCCCATCTCTTTTAAATCAGAGCCCACGTTGGGCTTAAGTCCTCCTTCCTGATTTGGCCCAACATCATATAAGAGAGCTCTCACAAGGCTGCCCTTGAATGGTCTAGGGATTGGGCCCTTCAAAGCCCAACTCGGCTCATATTTTCCTTGAAACCAGTTGCCTTCATTCAGCCCATACCCAACCTTCTTCTCGGCCCGCTTCACCTCTGAACCATCCAAATGTACGGACGCAGTCGCTGGGTCTAGCGAAAACCCAATGGATGAAAGCTTGTAACCCCGATTGTTGGGCACATCTATCTTCCTCGGCCCAACAGAGATTTGGCTCATCATCCACTTTGGTTCCAGGCCTGGCCAAGTAGGGTAAGCAGCTGCTTCCCTTGGCCTACCTCCCCTTCGCTGCTGCTGCTGTTCGTGCGAGGGAAGAAGCCGCCGCGCGTTGTTCGGGAGCAGAGGTCCGCCGCCGCCGTCGTCGTCCCTCTTCCTCTCGTCTGTCGGCGATTTCTTCTCCATCTCGCCCACCGTCGGCGAGCCATCAACTTGGCGGTTGCGTGACCAGCTCGATCCGGTGACTATCGCCATCGTCTCTGCCTCTTCTCCCGCAGCTGGCCTTGCTTCGACCTCCGACGGTGGAGTCTTCGTCTGGGTCTTCCTCTCCGATGGCGCCTGCTTTGATCTCTTCCGTCGACGACCAGTCGCCTCCTCGGCCTTTTGTCGTTTGTCGCCGCGTTTCTTCTTCTTCCTCTTCCCTGTCGGCGGTGGCTCTTCCTTTATCTCGATCTTCAGCTCGCTCTCCACCAATTCCAGATCCGCGTCTGACCCTCCGTTTTCCACAGCAACGGACAACGCAGGCGGAGAATTGGTCTCCCTTGTCGCGGCCACTGAATCCGACTGTGCTGTAGACTTAGCAGTAGGGGTTAAAGGTGGAAGTGTTGCTTCTGCCTTCGGTCCGATGATGCTCGGCATCTCCTTTGTGG